CTACCATGGTCATGCCAGCTGGCTGGTCCAGATCCTGGGACATGGCGTCCTTGTCCTCGGGGCTGCTGTCGACGGTCATCCCCTCGAGATCGCCTTCAGTGGTTCCGAGGCGCCTGCGCCGAGCTCGGCAGTTCGGGTCGCCTGTGAGGTGGTCGATGCTCCAGCAGTCCTCGCACTGGTGGTAATCCTGCGGCTGCTGCGTGCTGCTCATCGCGACCAACCAGACTGACTGGAGCCGCGCGCGAGATCACCTTCTGATCCACGTCAGTGCTGGAGCCGATAAGCAGCAGAAAAACTTGCTGGTGGCAGTGGCGGTGAGGGGTGAATAGCGAAGTCATATGGACAAGGCAAGTGGGTTTAAAAGGCGGCATTAACATATAGCCTGCACGTGGAAGGACAAGGATATGCTTCCCCCATCACCCCCTTCTGGAATTGCAAGTTGTACAAAGTCGGAGGGGGGAGGTTGTGATAGTGCTCAGTAGTTTGAGGGGGGGGGGGGCGTTGACTTGTGGTTAGTGGGGGCCTCCATAATAAGCTTTTGAGTTCGATGGGAACGCGAAGCGTCCAGGCTGCCTGGGGTGCGCAGGGTCCAAACGGTGAACACTCTTCCTTTGGGGCATGCGTTTGGGTTTGTATGCGCGTTGCATTTAGTAAAGGGTCCTGCCAGCTGGATTACTTTTTGTCCTGGCAAGCTCGACGGCGCATGTATCCAGCGCCACGAATCAGTTAATTGAAGCCGAATGCGATCAAATTGAGGTGGCCAAGTCTCTCTGGCGATCGCGTCGGCTCTGCTTCTGTCTGCGACAGAAGTTGCCGTCATCGACGCGATCGCCCGTGGGGCCCAGCCGACTCGATCTGATCGAATGCGAACCAGCTCAGCTTAAGAGCCGAGCGATGCCCGACCTCTGCTCGCCCGCAGGCTGGCTTACCAGAGCCCCATGCCCTCGCCGAAGTCGGGGATCTCCTCATCAGGACCAGCGCCTGCTGAGGCTGTCAGCACATAGTGTGGGTGGGGGGAGAGCGAGGGAGAGGTGATGAGGAGGAGGCGAAGGAGAAGGGGGAGGGAGTGGGAGGAGGAGGAACAGAAGGAAGAGGAGATAGACACGGAGGAGCAGGAGGATGAGGATGAGGAAAGAGCGTGTTAAGTTTAGCCGTCAGTTCCTCTACCTCTTCGTCGTCGTCCTCCTCCTCCTCCAGCCGTTCGTTTTCCTAGGGCGTGAAGAATGGATAGACAGATGAGCTCCTCTCCCGTTCCTTCCATCGTTGCCTCTAATCGGTTACCCAAAAACTGTTTAACCTCCGAGGGCCTCAACGAGATATGTACAAGAACTTCTGGGTGTTTGTGACCTCGTCGTGTTTGGCCCAGGGCTCCCCAAGGCGAATGCAACGCTCACAATACCTTGCAGCTGCCTTTTCAGCATCCGTGACCCTGGCGCCTCCACCAGCAGCGCTCGGCGGCGGCGGCGACGGTGCCGATGCTGGCGGCACAACCGCCCCGATCTCCTTTGGGTTGATGGTCTCCTCGCTGGGCGGAGGGAGCTCCCTCCGCCCCTAGGGGCGGGAGCTGATGGGTTGGTGGGCGAGACAGAATTGGCGGTTTGTGGTGCCGAGGTTGTAGGTGGATTAGATAATGGTTTGTGGGGGCGGAGGGGTGTCGGCTTGGGAAGAGGGCCTCGAAATGGAGGGGGTCACGCCGGGTGGTAAAGATGAGGTAAGGGAAGGGGGGGGGGGGGGGGGTGGGGGGGGGGGTGGGGGAGAAAGGCGCGGAGAATAGGAGGATAATGGGGGGGGGGGGGAGGGGGAGTGAGGAGGAGGAGGAGGAGGAGGAGGAGGAGGAGGAGGAGGAGGAGGAGGAGGAGGAGGAACAAGAGGAGGAGGAGTTCCTGCTCCTGCTTGGAGTCGATTGCCGATGGCTTCGTCTTGTTGCTGATCTTTTTCTTGGGCGAGGGCAAGGGCGCCTCTCGGACGGATCGCGGGACGGCGGCGACGCATCCCTGCTTGGTTTCACATCCTCGACTTTGCACTGCTCCTCATCCTCCTTCCATTGCCATCCTGAATGCCCTCCTCCAGATCCTCCATATCCTCTGCCAGCGTCGACGCCTTGCTAATTCATGCCATCCTGCCAGTCTTCCCCCTCCCCCTATTTCTCTACCCGATCAGCCTGTCTTGAAGGGAACACCTGGAACGCAATGCTTCCCTTCCTCCTCCTCCACCTCCCTTCTCCTCCTCCTCCCCCCCTAGCCCTCTCCCCAATCTGGTTTTCAAATTCTACTTCTCGTCGCACCC